GGCGCCGCGCAACGGATGAACTGAGCACGCGCCAACACGCATCCGTCGCAGTCATACACCGCGAAACCAAATGATAACCACACCCGCCAACAAAGCTCTCGCCTCAGTCACACACCGCAGTAACACATAACAAACAAACACGCCAGCCGAAAGCCAGCCATACTCACGCCGCGCAACAAATGACAAGGTTAAACGCCTGCCACCTTTGCACACCACGTCACAAACGACACGCTCACGCCCCAACTGAGCGGGTCACTCACCAGGCAAGCAAGGGCACTGGCATCACCCAACTGAGCGCCAGCTACAGCCAAAAACCACATAATGAATCAACAAACACACTTGCCAACTAGGCACCGGCAATGCTCATGAAACCACACAGCAAATTACAAGCACGCTGGCCAACTGAGCAGCCGCCACACCAATACACCGCACAACAAATTGCAACGCACGCCAGCGACAAACGTAATGGCAAGTGCTGGGGCAGGAAAACCTGCCAGCACAAGAAGGACGAATCCGGAACTGTTAGAATAAGGAGCCTGGAACCGTTAAAAAGCGGGGTGGAACCGTTAGGTAGGGGCCCGGAACCGATAGAAAAAGGCCGGAACCGTTAGAGACATTTCGGAGCAGCGAGCTGGCTACGCCCAACAAAAATGCGGTCTACCAGCCAGAAATCATACACATGTTGATGTTTCCAGGTAAATTCCAAGGCACAATTGCAACAACCTAAGGTTACTCAGCTGAGTCCGTAATTTGGGCTACAACAACCATTGTGCCCACAATCCTGCGCAGGGTTGAGGTTTGATGTTCGAGGGGAAGTTCTGGCTCGTGTTTTGAGACGATCGGTTTTCAATTTCATTCGGGTTCGGCGTGCTTCAGGCGCATGTTGTGTGGTGGGTTAGCTTGCCGGGGGTTCAGTTAGTGGGCGCAGCGCTTATTTGCTGCTAGATTCACACTGGATTCACCCCAAATTTCCATTGTACTGGAAAAATGATGGAACACATTGTTTTCCGCATGAAAGTCATGGAGCACGCGGTTTTTCACCAAATTTGGGTCCGATTTTCCCTCTAACGGTTCCGGTCCCTACCTAACGGTTCCACGCCCTTTTTTAACGGTTCCACCCCCCTTTTTAACGGTTCCGGGCCCTTTTTAACGGTTCCGGTTTCGCCCTTCCTGTGCTGGCAGGTTTTCCTGCCCCAGCACTTGCCATAGCGTTTGTCGCTGGCGTGCGTTGCTCATGTGTTGTGCGGTGTATTGGTGTGGCGGCTGCTCAGTTGGCCCGAGTGCTTGTAATTTGCTGTGTGGTTTCATGAGCATGGCCGGTGCCTAGTTGGCAAGTGTGTTTTTCATTCTTTATGTGGTTTTTGGCTGTAGCTGGCGCTCAGTTGGGTGGTGCCAGTGCCCTTGCTTGCCTGGTGAGTGACTCAGTTGGGGCGTAGGCGTGTCGTTTGTAACACCGTGTGAGTATGGCTGGCGCGTGTTTGTTTGTTATGTGTTAATGCGGTGTGTGACTGAGGCGAGTGCTCTGTTGGCAGGTGCGCTTACCATTTTTTGCACGGTGTACGACTGTGGCGGATGCGCGTCGGCGCGTGTTCAGTTCATCCTTTGCACGGTGCCTTGGGTGGCTGGCCCGCTCATTATTTTGTTGTGTGCCATGTAGGTGTGCAGGGTGCTCACTTGGCATGTGTTCCTACTTTGTCACGCAGTGTGTGACTGCGGCGGGCGCTTTGTGAGCGGGTGTGTTCATCACTTGTGTGAAATAATGGGTTCATCGAAAGGGAGTGTTTGAACATGAATTATGGCACGCGACTGTGGCGGGTCTTCAGTTGGTGGCAGTGTATTTTGAGTTCGCTGCGTGGTTCGTTAGTTTGGCGGGTGTTCAGCTGGCGGATGGGTTGTTTGTTTGTTGTGTGGTAGCTGGCTGTGGGCGTTTGGTTGGCCCGGGCGCTGATGGTTTATTTGTGCGATGAGTGAATGTGATCGGTGTTCAGTTGGCGGGGGTGATTATATTTTGTTGTGTGGTATGTGATGGTGGGTACTCAGTTGGTGCGTGTGTTTCTGACTTGTTGTGCTGTAAGTGGCTGCTCGTTGACAGGTATGTTCATCATCTATTGTGTGGTGCTTGATTGTGGCCAATTGGAGAGTTTGAGTATGCTTTGTCGCGTGGTGTGTGATTCTGGCGGGTGATGAAGGGTTTGCGTGGTTTGTTGGTGTGTGATGCGTGAGTGTGATTATGATGTGTGTTTAGCTGCTTGGTCTGCTTCCCCTTTGCTACGCAATGTGCAAGTATGGGCAGGGTTCTTTTGGCGTGTGTGCGCATGTGATTTGTTGCGTGTTGTGTGACTCTGGCAGGTGCTCTGTAGGCAGTTGCGGTTATCATATGTCATATGTTTTGCCAAGTCACTGCGATGGGTAACATGTCTATGTGCATTTACGTGTGTTGCCTCCGAATATAAAACTGTTGCTCCCAAAACGTGTGTTGCCTCCGAACATACAACTGTTGCTCCCAAATATAACATTGTTTTGGACAAACAATACACTGATATTTACTTTGAGAAGGGACATTAAACAGATATGGCTGCTAAAGATGTTGTAGGGTTTTGGGAATGTTTTTTTTTAAACCCCGGGATATGTGCTGTACACAGCTCACCATAGTTGGAAACACCCACGGAATGATGCTGTGCGTGTCTTGGTTTGACGCAGAAGAGGGCTAAAATCATTCTATGTGCGATAACCAACATGATGCGACTTAGCAAATCATGACACGTTTAGGACATGGCTCACCTAATCACAGCTCAAAAGGCGCCTGCGCCTATATTTAAAAAATTACACGACCTACTTCCATGCAAACACGCTCCAGTTGGTAACCTTGCTGTGCACAAAACGGATAGACCACCACTTATGCCAAGAGATATTGCTTTGTGGCGGGCGAGCCTCCATGTGCAAACGCCAAAATACCGATGTGACTTTTTTCTGCTGATATTCATGACTGGTATTGAAACCACAATTGTATAATTCACCCACTTGGGCAAGATTCAAGTCTCCTGGAAGCGCTTGTTGATGACAGGATGTCCGGACCACACATGTTGCTTATAGTGTTCCACAATATGCAAGCAAGGATGACGGTGCAAGCTTGCATGCTGGATGCTGGGGCGCGCTGTTAAGTGTATTGAGTGTATGATGTGTTTATGTGTGAGGCGTTTGGCGGGGTTCAATGCCCTTAAATACAACAGCTATTGTCAGCGCGTAGCCCTTTCGACAGTACTCCACCTGAGAAGTGCCTAAGCATACTGAAGCAGGGCATTTGCTTGTAAAATTAAACTGAGGGCGCAGCGCAAATAACACAAAGCGCTCTTTACTGATTTCTGCAGTCTTGCAATCGTGGACGAACGTTTGCTTTGTGCGTGGATGTCATTTGGAACGTGTCTGTTGACACCAATAATGGAGCAAATGTTGCTAGCATGTTGGTGCAGCCACCATATTTTGCAAAGGAAGCTAATCAACATGCAAAATAGTTTTCAATGACAAGTGGATATGGCCGGAAGAGTAGTCGTAACACAGTCCCCACCCAGCATACAAAGGGCAGATATGCACCACGAACAGCTTGTTAACAGGCATTACCTGGCACGCCAGCAGGCCTCATGGTAAAACTAATGCGAGGTTTCTATTCCGGATCCGCTGACCCCCCAAACCTGTTTTGCATTGAACATATGGCACAATCGGGATCCAGACATGATTTGATTGCTGTGCGTCCCAAACACAATTCTATGAACTTAGTGAAAACATTCTCCTCATTGATTGCATCTACTGCTTTGAGCACCAAAATCCTGTTGAAGGCTCTGAATGCACCACTCGCACAGCCCGGCAACGCAACATATACTGTTTTGGGTCTGTTTGAAGTCTGTTTGGCCCGGTTCCTGGAACCAAGTTCTATGACCCTGCTATAGCGGGAACCAAGCTGGTTCCTGACATATAAGTTACCGGAAGCCCTGGGAAGTGTCAAGCGTTCCCAAGTGTTCGTAAGTGTCCCAAGTGTCCATGTGTTCCAAGTATTCCCAAATGTTCCCAACTGCCCCAAGAATTCCCAAGCATCCCAATTTCAAGCGCTCCCAAATGTTCCAAGTTTCCCAAGTCTTCCAAGCGTCTGTAGTGTTCCGAAGTTTTCACCTATGTTCCCCAGTGTCCCAACTATTCCCAAGTGATTTTAATTGTCCCCATTCCCAAGTGTTCCAAGTGTTTCACGTGTTCCAAGTGTCCCAACTGTTCCAGCACCCCAAGTGTTCTCAGGTGTTCAAAGAGTTCCCAAGTGTTCGCAAGTGTCCCAAGTGGTGTCCCAAGCCAAGTGTCCCAAGCTGTATGCGCCATATTGTGACACACATAGATCCCGCCATTTGGAGCAAACTAACACGCTCAATGAAGCACATCGTCCTTTGCGCACAATTTGTCAACGAATTCATCAATGCCCGGCTCTCAAAAAAAAGAAGAGCTTGCGTTGTCCAATCATGTCTTTTGCCCGGGCCACGAACTCAGGCAGTCCACAGCCAACAAAGTTGGCTTGAGAACGCGATGCGGGCATCTTGGCGCATCGCCAAGCAGAAGACAGTCGCAAGTTTTGCTGATGATGCTTTGTGGCTGCTGTGGCGCAAGCTTACACTGCAACTCTGCAATTCTGCAGCTGCCCCGTGCAAGTCACGCTCCGGCACTCTTGCAAGGCAACAAGGCCTGAGCGCCTGTGAGACGGCAAGAAGCGCTCCAAATGCATTTTGTGACGCGGACTTCTTGCGGCGCGCGTCGCTTCAATCTCAGAACACGTCACTTTCTCCGGGGGTTGTGATTGTAACAGAGAAGCACCACTTTGTTTACTCTCCAGAGGCCGCAAGACAGTGATAAACTCAGCTACCACAAGCGAAACCAAGGCCGCACATAGCCCGAGCACGGCAATCATAAGAGAACCAATGAAAACTGGCCAGCTTCACTCACATTTAAACATGCGGAAACACATGTGGGACATTTGCATTTGTTTTCAGGCTACATTCGGCATGGAGCTGCGCGCGAGTGCACCAAGAGGTTGAATGATGACACCCTCGGGCGCTGTCCCCGGGCCACTGGAGTCTGCCAGGCCAAATGGCTCACGTCACTCTGACACGGGGCAATCTGGGGCATCGTTGGCTTTCTCTTCGGCCTTATCTGCGCCCTTCTCTTCGCAACACCTTGGCATCTTCGGCCCAGGCACCCGAAGCAAAAGAAGGCGCGCGACTTGCACTGATAACGATTGGGGCTAAGCCACGAGCGCCTGGCCTGTGTGGACAGCGACGTTTGCTTTTTCGAGGGAAGGCGCTGAACATTGGATTTCTTCATTCGGCCCCCCCCCGTCCTTAAGCGTTGGCTAAGGGCAAAGCATGCCCAGTTGAGCATGTTTACCCAAACAAGGGTGTCAGCGGCTTCAAACCGACATAGAGCTCCCATGGTTCAACGTCAGTGTCAGAAACTGAGCCTGGCAACAAAGCAAAATAGTGCCGAAAGCAAGACGTTGAACAGGAATTTGTTTGTTGACGCAAAGAGTGGTTCAACCCAAACGCCAAACATAGAAGTCAAAACAAGTCCTCCGAGGCAACCGCATGTGGCACATATCATGCCCTGGCGGCATTCAGTTTCCTGCAATAAACAGACAATTCAAATGGTTTACATTAACGCCGACCTGGGATGAAACATGGTTTTTATCTTGTATAATCTTGGCTCGTCATACCAACCCCGCATGCCCTCCTCCAAGACAAAAGCAATGATGGATCTCCACGTGTCATCGGCTTCCGTGTAGTGGTCAGTGGCTTACAACAACACAATTCCATAAAAGCATGGCACAGCAGTACCTGGTTCACTCGTTTAAGTTACGAGAGTAGTCAATAAAAAACAATAGACAATGGCTTAAGTGCAGCAGGTCCGGCGTGCCAACATTTCTTACGTGCATGAGCAAACTCATTAGGCAAAGACATGTTTAGCTCAAACTCTACAGCGGTTAAATTCAGGAATCGCCGGCTTAAATTCAGGGGCCCGGCGCGCTTTGTTTGGGCACAAAGGTATTTAGCTTAAATTCAAGGGTCCATTGCTTAAATTCAGGGGGCCCAGTGCAAAACATGTTTGGCGCGCAAGGAATTTGCTGAAATTCAGGTGTCAATGTGATGAATTCAGGCGTCTGAATGCCTTAGGCACAAAGCCAACTAGCTTAAATTCAGCGGCCAATGGCTCAAATTCACGGGTCCGACGCGTAAATTCCCTAGCACAAGTCATTCGCTCAAATTCGCCCGCGCGAGAAAAGCAATAGGCGCAAGGGCAATTAATCGGGTCAATGGCTTAAATTCAAAAGCCGGCGCCAAAGTCTCAAAGTTGGGGTCAAGTGCGAGAATTCCGCAGGTTCAGGAACAATTCCTTAAATTCAGGGGTCGATAGCTTAAACTCAGGGGCGTGGGCGCGCAAATTCTTTGAGGACAGGGGCAATTCCTAAAATGCAGGGGAGGTGCCTGAGGATTTGGCAATTTACCCAATGTTTTTTTCGAAATAGAAAATGGAGTTCTTGCGATAGAAATTGCCTTTTTCAGCAAAAAATACCGGGAAATTTACACAAAATCATTAGGCGCACCCCCCCTGCATTTTAGCTAATTACCGCTGCGTTTCAAGATTTGCCATTGCGCTCGAGGCATTTGCGCGCTGAACCACCCGAATTCAATCCATAGACCCCTTTTTGAGTTAATTACATCATGTTATATCTGTTCATAATTGCTTTTCGGGCCGGGCCAACCGCCTGAATGTAAGGCGTTGACCACGGAATTTGAAGCTAGTTATTACCACATTGACCCCTGGACTTAACATAGTTACCGGTGCGCCGCCGGAGCATTTTGCGCCGGAACCCTGACTCCTGCATTAAACTACTTTTCCTGCGCCAAAGGAGTTTTGGCGCCGGACCCCTGACTTTAAGCAACTGGCCCCTGAATTGAAGCCATATACCGCGGCGCCCATTTTTTCGCTGAATCAAAGCCGTCCACCCCTGAATTTAAGCCAACTACCGCAGTGCCTGATTTTTCTTAACACCGAACCACCTGGTTTTGAGCTCTTGGCCCCCGGATTTAAGTTGACTACCTCTGTGCCTAGAAAACTTTTGCGCTGGACCACCCCTGAGTCATTGCAAATAAATTCAGAAACGCTGCAAAGGTGTGGTTTGCGCACCGATCTGAGATTATTTCGAAACCCATTCCAATGCGTTGCCCACGCATGATTATGATGCCTCTGTCGGCCCATAAAACCGGGAAATTTATACGGTTGCTGCAAGCATAACATAGCAACTGAGCGTGGAAACGAGAATGGGTAGATTGGCACGTGTTGAACCCTCGAACCCTCAAACCCTCGCCAGCCCTCAAACCCTCGAACCCTCAAACCCTCGCCAACCCTCGAACCCTCGAACCCTCGTACCCTAGCCAACCCTTGAACCCTCGAACCCTCGCCAACCCTCAAACCCTCGAACCCTCGTACCCTCCCCAACCCTCGAACCCTCGAACCCTCGTACCCTTGCCAGCCCTCGAACCCTCGAACCCTCGTACCCTCGAGCCCTCGAACCCTCGCCGACCCTTGAACCCTCCCTCACCTCCCAAAAGACCTTATCTTAATTAAGGTCTTTTTTTACTACCTTAATTAAGGTGTTTTTCCTTATTTAGGGTGTGTTTTTTTAAGGTTTGTTTTCCTTAATTAAGGTCTGTTTTTTTTACACTTTTTTGAGCAGGAGGCAGCCGCCTCCTTTTTACATGAGTTAGCAGATCTTTGAAGCATTCCCTTTCGGGTAGTGGCATGCGTGTCTTGGAGCTCGGGTGACCATTTGACATCTTGGCAGCCGTTTTGGAGCTCAAGCTTTGATCCGTGCAATGGCTCGAGCTAAAAACACTGCCGACGAGAAGGCCGTGGGCAAGGTGCTACGGGCCAATTTGACCTGCCTCGACCCAAAGCTTTTCCAGCACGTGGAGATGGATTTGGTAGTGGCCAGCTACGAAGATTTTTTGATCGACTTGCTTAAGGTGACAGCAAGGCCCACCCAAAGCATTTTGAAAGCTGCTGCTTCCAGGGTGTTTGCAGTTTCTCCAGAGACTGCGGATGCCTTTGCTGGCAGGATGTGCAAAAGCATTTCTTACTGCAGGCAAAAAGAGAAAAGTGCTCAGAGCGGGAAGAAGCTGCACTCAGCAGTTAGGAAGGTCATCCTTGCCCTTAGGGGCAAGGCAGGTGCCAATGAAGTGTCCCCTGCCAGCGCAAGAGCTAGCAGCCCAGTAGAAGCACCTGCCATGAGCCGCGCGCAGGAAGCTTCTGCTTCTAGCAAGAAGAGGAGCCGGTCTCCTCCCCGGACTAGGGAGTCAATTTTTTTGGAGCTTGGCTTGACTCCTCCCAAGGGCTCGAGCAAGCCTTTGCTTGTTTTTTCGCCTGCAGTGTCAATAGATTCTTCAGTGCAGGTGGCAAGTAGTCAAGAAGGCCCCTTGCCAGGCTCTGAGGCTGCTAGCAGCTCCAGGCAGTCCAACGACAAGGTTGCTGTGTATGTTGACAACTCCACGTTGGAGCTGGTCAGAGCGCATGCTGGCAAAGACGCCCAGCGCTATCCCTTAGAAGTTGGCCCTGAAGGCTTTGCAGTGGCAAAAGTGGATGGGGCCACAGTGCCCACTGAGGTTCCTAACTTGTTACTGAAGAAGGGGCCACTTCCTCCCACCACTGGCGCTTTTAAAAAGCCAGCGGCTGCCTTGAAAAGGCCAGCTGCAGCACCGTCCATGCCTGAAGCTGAGGAGAGGGCAGCTGAACTCGAACTCTGAAGGCTCAGAGCCGCATCGCAAGAACGAATACAGCAAAATGTTTTACAAGGCATCAGGCGCTTTTGCCATAAGGCAAAAGTTTTTTGCGAAGTCACAAATTTTCCAACTAAAGAGCCACACGCTGTCAAAAGACCAAGTTTCAGACATTGCTGATCAGGCAGTTGCCAAACTCCATGCCGGGCAAAGTGAAGACCAGGTCAAGCAGTGGGCCAGATCGCAGATGTAAAACAACGCTCTTTGTGGTTCGCGTGCTTCTGTTTGCTTGGGGCTTGGCGCGGTTCCTTGGCTTGCTTTTTTTGAGGGGGGAGGGAAACAGTAGGCGCCACCTTGCTTGCAGTAGTTGCCTGTGAACATTTCATGGTGCACGATATTTGTTTTCTCGGCCACAAACTTTCACAGATGTGGGTAGAGCATGCGCTGGACCCGTCAGTCTGCATCCTTGCGGTGTGTTTTTAGCTTGGCTCAAAAAAACACGTTTTTTTTGACCGCTGTTTTCTACGCTGCTTTCTAAGCCATGGCGGATGGCCCCAGCACTCCCCCGAAGAAGCCGCCACCTTCGCCTCCTCCAAGCAAGGCCACAAGCGTTGTTAACCTGCTCTTGGAGGGCGAGGAGGAGGAGCAGGGCTTTGTTGAGGACCAGGTGGTGGAGCCCTGGGAGAACCCTGAGTTCTTGCGGGAGTGCCTGAAGTGCCATTGCCGGTCGTATTTGAGGAAAGGTGGATGCTGTAATCCAGCCTGCGCCCCTTGTTTCAGCATATGTACGTGTGAATCATTTAACAGGAGACAGAATTTGGTCTCCTTAAGTTTTGTTGTTGCATTCCGTGTTTTCATTTGTTGTTCCCCACATCTTTGTGTGGGGTTCTTACTTTTTCCGCTCGTCGTCCGCGCGCCGCGTCTCCTCCTCCTTCTCCCGCTCGTCTCCGTCTCACTCACTCACTCACTCACTCACTCACTCACTCACTCACTCACTCACTCACTCACTCACTCACTCACTCACTCACTCACTCACTCACTCACTCACTCTCACTCACTCACTTACACTCACTCAACTCACACTCACTCACTCACACTCACTCACGCTCACTCACACTCACCACACTCACTCACTCACACTCACTCACACTCACTCACTCACACTCACTCACTCACACTCACTCACTCACACTCACTCACACTCACTCACACTCACTCACTCACACTCAGTCACTCACACTCACTCACAC